CATCAAGGAAGACCTGTATCTTGACAAAAGATAGCGTAAGGTGCAACATTTAGCCAATGAGTTCTGGTCTAGATGGAAGAAAGAGTACCTGTTAAACCTGCAACAGAGACAAAAATGGCAAAAGACGCGCAGAAATGCAAAGGTCGATGATATAGTGATTGTGCAAGACGACACTGCACCACGGAATGAGTGGAAACTGGCCAAGGTCACTGAAGTATATCTGGGTAAGGATGGATGTGTGAGAAAGCTTCTATTGCTCATCAGTGACTCAGCTCTAGATGATCAAGGAAAACGTCTCAGCAAACCAACTTATCTGGAGCGGCCTGTCCACAAGACAGTTACCCTGCTTGAAGCCGAGTAGTGCAGCTGTCTGTCTACCTTTCTTTTCTATTCTTTAAGGATGTTATTATTTGAATCCTACACTTAAGTTCATTAGGGAAATCACAGGTGATTTGGTGGGAGTGTAGCTGCATTTAGAGATAGTCATACAATTTAAGTTCATTGAATAATTTAAAAAGTCTACTACCTACGCAAGTATGTTGGCGGCGATATGAACTCCATCACTTCTCCGACGCAAGTGTCACAGGGTATGGAGTGTGTACTTACCTGAGAGCAATCAGTGCATCAGGACAAAGAGTTAAAGAGCTCATTGCTTCTAACTGGTTTACTGGTCCAGAACTTCTGTGGTGTGAAGAGCCTCCCAGCGGAGATGTTAAGGTGGGAGACAAAGCAGTTGAAGACCTAGAAGTTGGTAAAGCTTTCGCACACAAGACCTCGACAATAGAAGATTCACTGCTTGATCGCTTCCTGAAGTTTTCTAGTTGGGACAGTTTAGTCAGAGCCGTTGCCAGACTTGTACGACGTGTCAAAGAGGTCAAAGGTTTGACATCAAGAACCAATGAAGCCACAAGTCTCGAAGAGAGAAAGGATGCAGAACTTACTATCATAGGCAAGGTCCAAAGAGCAACCTTCTGGAAGGAAATAAAGGGTCTTCAGTGCGGCAAGGAGATGGTAACAATCCCTTGTTACAGGCTGCATAAACTGAATCCTTTCTTGGACGAGCAAGGAATCCTCAGGGTGGGAGGTCGACTAGAGCACACTGCTTTGCATCTGCACATCAAGCATCCAGCAGGGTTGCCAAGGACGAGTCACATATCAAAGTTGTTGATCAAGCACTACCATCAAAGGGTGCAACACCAAGGGCGTGGTATAACAATGAATGAGCTGCGATCAAACGGCATCTGGATACTTAGATGTAGTCATGCTGTGTCGTCCTACATCTACAAGTGTGTCAGGTGTAGAAAGTTTAGAAGGTGTACAGAGCAACAAAGAATGGCAGACTTACCCCCTGAACGCATGGAAACAACTCCTCCCTTTACATATTGTGGGATGGGCTGTTTTGGCCCATTCTATGTCAAGGAGGGCAGAAGGGAGCTGAAGAGGTATGGTCTGCTGTTTACCTGTCTGTGCTCTCGTGCTGTGCACAGTGAACTGCTTGACGACATGACGACTGATGCCTTCATTAATGCTCTTCGTGCCTCACGTGGAAACGTTGGACAACTTCAGTCTGATCAGGGCACTAACTTTGTTGGTGCTAGACGTGAATTCCTGGAAGCTGTAAAAGAGATGGACCAAGAGGGCCTTAAGCACCTAGGCTGTGAGTTTGTCATGAACCCTCCATCTGCCAGCCATATGGGTGGAGCCTGGGAAAGGCAAATCAGAAGAATAAGAAGTGTGCTGACATCTATTCTGGATCAGTCATCCAGAACGCTTGATGGGTCATCTTTACGAACTTACCTTCACGAAGTCATGGCAATCATAAACAGCAGACCTTTAACAGCTCACTTACTCAATGATCCAGCTGGGCCACAGCCTCTTACACCTAATCATATACTGACAATGAAGTCTTCAGTACTCTTGCCACCACCTGGAGAGAGTTCATCAAGGAAGACCTGTATCTTGACAAAAGATAGCGTAAGGTGCAACATTTAGCCAATGAGTTCTGGTCTAGATGGAAGAAAGAGTACCTGTTAAACCTGCAACAGAGACAAAAATGGCAAAAGACGCGCAGAAATGCAAAGGTCGATGATATAGTGATTGTGCAAGACGACACTGCACCACGGAATGAGTGGAAACTGGCCAAGGTCACTGAAGTATATCTGGGTAAGGATGGATGTGAGAGAAAGCTTCTATTGCTCATCAGTGACTCAGCTCTAGATGATCAAGGAAAACGTCTCAGCAAACCAACTTATCTGGAGCGGCCTGTCCACAAGACAGTTACCCTGCTTGAAGCCGAGTAGTGCAGCTGTCTGTCTACCTTTCTTTTCTATTCTTTAAGGATGTTATTATTTGAATCCTACACTTAAGTTCATTAGGGAAATCACAGGTGATTTGGTGGGAGTGTAGCTGCATTTAGAGATAGTCATACAATTTAAGTTCATTGAATAATTTAAAAAGTCTACTACCTACGCAAGTATGTTGGCGGCGATATGAACTCCATCACTTCTCCGACGCAAGTGTCACAGGGTATGGAGTGTGTACTTACCTGAGAGCAATCAGTGCATCAGGACAAAGAGTTAAAGAGCTCATTGCTTCTAACTGGTTTACTGGTCCAGAACTTCTGTGGTGTGAAGAGCCTCCCAGCGGAGATGTTAAGGTGGGAGACAAAGCAGTTGAAGACCTAGAAGTTGGTAAAGCTTTCGCACACAAGACCTCGACAATAGAAGATTCACTGCTTGATCGCTTCCTGAAGTTTTCTAGTTGGGACAGTTTAGTCAGAGCCGTTGCCAGACTTGTACGACGTGTCAAAGAGGTCAAAGGTTTGACATCAAGAACCAATGAAGCCACAAGTCTCGAAGAGAGAAAGGATGCAGAACTTACTATCATAGGCAAGGTCCAAAGAGCAACCTTCTGGAAGGAAATAAAGGGTCTTCAGTGCGGCAAGGAGATGGTAACAATCCCTTGTTACAGGCTGCATAAACTGAATCCTTTCTTGGACGAGCAAGGAATCCTCAGGGTGGGAGGTCGACTAGAGCACGCTGCTTTGCATCTGCACATCAAGCATCCAGCAGTGTTGCCAAGGACGAGTCACATATCAAAGTTGTTGATCAAGCACTACCATCAAAGGGTGCAACACCAAGGGCGTGGTATAACAATGAATGAGCTGCGATCAAAGGCATCTGGATACTTGGATGTAGTCATGCTGTGTCGTCCTACATCTACAAGTGTGTCAGGTGTAGAAAGTTTAGAAGGTGTACAGAGCAACAAAGAATGGCAGACTTACCCCCTGAACGCATGGAAACAACTCCTCCCTTTACATATTGTGGGATGGAGTGTTTTGGCCCATTCTATGTCAAGGAGGGCAGAAGGGAGCTGAAGAGGTATGGTCTGCTGTTTACCTGTCTGTGCTCTCGTGCTGTGCACCGTGAACTGCTTGACGACATGACGACTGATGCCTTCATTAATGCTCTTCGTGCCTTCATTGCCTTACGTGGAAACGTTGGACAACTTCAGTCTGATCAGGGCACTAACTTCGTTGGTGCTAGACGTGAATTCCTGGAAGCTGTAAAAGAGATGGACCAAGAGGGCCTTAAGCACCTAGGCTGTGAGTTTGTCATGAACCCTCCATCTGCCAGCCATATGGGTGGAGCCTGGGAAAGGCATATCAGAACAATAAGAAGTGTGCTGACATCTATTCTGGATCAGTCATCCAGAAGACTTGATGGGTCATCTTTGTGAACTTACCTTTACGAAGTCATGGCAATCATAAACAGCAGACCTTTAACAGCTCACTTACTCAGCGATCCAGCTGGGCCACAGCCTCTTACACCTAATCATATTCTGACAATGAAGTCTTCAGTACTCTTGCCACCACCTGGAGAGTTCGTGAAGGAAGACCTGTATCTTGACAAAAGATGGCGTAAGGTGCAACATTTAGCCAATGAGTTCTGGTCTAGATGGAAGAAAGAGTACCTGTTAAACCTGCAACAGAGACAAAAATGGCAAAAGACACGCAGAAATGCAAAGGTCGATGATATAGTGATTGTGAAAGACGACACTGCACCACGGAATGAGTGGAAACTGGCAAAGGTCACTGAAGTATATCTGGGTAAGGATGGATGTGTGAGAAAGCTTCTATTGCTCATCAGTGACTCAGCTCTAGATGATCAAGGAAAACGTCTCAGCAAACCAACTTATCTGGAGCGGCCTGTCCACAAGATGGTTACCCTGCTTGAAGCCGAGTAGTGCAGCTGTCTGTCTACCTTTCTTTTCTATTCTTTAAGGATGTTCCTATTTGAATCCTACACTTAAATTCATTAGAGAGATCACAGGTGATTTGGTGGGAGTGTAGCTGCATTTAGAGATAGTCATACAATTTAAGTTTAATAAATAATTTAAAAAGTGTACTACCTACGCAAGTATGTTGGCGGAGATATGAACTCCATCACTTCTCCAACGCAAGTGTCACAGGGTATGGAGTGTGTACTTACCTGAGAGCAATCAGTGCATCAGGACAAATCCACTGTTCTCTAGTCATGGGTAAGGCCAGAGTCACCCCACGAAGGTCACCACCGTACCAAGACTTGGGCTGTCAGCAACTGTTGTTGCTGTCCGTACTAGTGATCTGCTTAGGAAGGAGCTGGAAATAGAAAGTGCCCAGGAGATTTTCTGGACAGACTCAAAGGTCGTCCTTGAATACATTAATAACGATGCCAGACGATTTCATGTCTTTGTGGCAGGCCGCATCCAGTGTATCAAGGAAAGTACCAGTTCAAGTCAATGGAGACATGTGCCCTCTGAGGAAAATCCTGCTGATCATGTGTCAGAAGTAATGTGAAATTACAGGTGATGGTTTGTATGTTTTGTAGGGCTTGGAGGGTAGACTTAATTGAGATGAAAATGCATGTATTTTGTAAAATATTTTTGATAAATGAAATCTCTCTCTTGCACTTTGTGTTTGTGTAAGAGTAAAAGATTTGAAGATAAAAGAAATCCTCTTACTGATCTGCAGACAGTCACAGTTCTGACGCAGTTGAGTGCGATGTTGAGAAACGCCCTTCTCCACCTGTGAAAAGAAATAAAGCAAATGTGAGTGTTTTGAGGTGTTGTAAATGTTTGAGCTGCAGTGATCAATGTAAAAAATTACACTTTTATTGTGTTTCATTGCTAAATATTCAAGTGGTTGAGGTCACTGGTGGTGATAAGATAACAATATACAGAAATTTAAAGAAGGTTGCAGCCCAGAGAGGAATAAGTGAACATTTGTAATGTTAAAGATAAATGAATAAAAGATTAAAGTAATGGATAAATGATGCAAAGTTGCACAGACGCTGGGATCCGGTCCCATAATGAAGGGAGAAATGGCAGTAGCCCTCTCTCTTGTGCCTGGTGGTGATGTATGTAATTCATGGTCCTCGCTAAGAAAGAGGGGAACAGGCTGATGGGCTTGTTATTGTAGCAAGCGACTGTGACTGTGTTATTGTTATTGGCAAATATAAGTGATTTAGCTTTGCAGCATCAAGCAGAATAAAGATAAGTTGTATTGTTTTTCCTCTTGCCCACTAAAATATATGTCAACTATATATATAATAAGCGCTGGTGGTTGGTTGGCACATTAGCGTGGTTAGTTTGCTGCCATGCTCTCCGACCTGTGGTCTCTGAGCTGTCACCTCCAGAGGAGGTGACACACTCTCCAGAGACAGTTGAAAGCCAATACAGTTGTATTTAATAGAGCATGTTTGTTTTCTGATCATATAATTAGAGTGTTTTAAATTACAAGACACTTAATGGATCCAATAATGTGGTGCCGTGACTACACACCTACAGTATGTGATCAGCAGTTCATTGACAAATGATCTTTTATCATTGGTGGCCACCTTCCGGTCTTATGGACAGCCACTCCTCTTTACTACAACATGGGTGAATGTGGCACATCTCAGTCTAAACAGTCAACAGTTGGAGTGGTCTGCTGGACTCTGCTGGTCCTCCTCATGCCATTGCAACAAACTATGTTTTACAACACACTGTTTTCTGCATCGCCTTATCTCTTAAATGTCCCAAAATATAATATAGTAAGCAGTATTTACCAGCAGATGCATGTCCCGCGTGGTCCAGTTGTTGTCGGTTTTCTCTGGTCCAGTCCAGTCAGTTGGAGGTGGAAGGGCCGACTGCCAAACAGGAAGTGGAGGGTTCCGGCTGCATTTATAGAGCAGAGGATTAGCGGTACAATCTTTTACAGTTTTTATGTTTAATAGTAAAGCTCTGTGTAAATGACCAACACTGTTGTATCATCAGTTTTTATACACTTGATTTAACACTTGTCACCTATGTGATCTGTTCTCCAGGTCATCCAAAAAGGTCCAGAAAAGACAATTGAGCAAAGGTGACATGACAGGAGGTTGTCAGAGCCCAGGACTGCTGATTCAGCCATTAACGCATGTGAAAAATGAAGATGGATAGAATGTTTACATATCACACTCCTATCAATCATCATGCTCATATCATATTTTTAATAACTACTAAGGATTTTGATGATTAATTCCAATGAATAATAGAAAAGCCAAGTGAAATTTGGATAAGAACAGTTCTCCCATGTGATTTAAAGTGTGTTGTTTTGGGCCAAGAGATTATGTATGATTTTGGATTTTATGTTGAAGTTCCAAGTCCTCAGCATGCAGGGAAGAGACTGAGCAGAGTACATATGCAATGGATAATCAAACAGTTTGAGTCTGTCTTTGAGGAACATCTTCCATAGTGCAGTGGTCTAAGGTAGAAACCCTGCAAGCATAATGTCCCTGGTTTGATTCCCAAAAGGTGTTTTTATTGTATATTTTGCTCCGTGAGCTGTTGTGAGTGACAAAGACTAAACAGCTGGCACAGAAAATAAGATGAGTTAATGTGCTTTTCCCACACATGTAAAGTGGACTCATGCCATTGCAACAAACTATTGCACAAGCAAAGATACACACTGTTTTCTGCATAGCCTTATCTCTTAACTGTCAGAAAATATAATATGTTTTGTCAGTGTTATTTATATCAGTCTGTCTTCTGTCCAGGCTGCTGAATGAAGAGAGAAAAGGGGCCAGAGAAGTGACTTGAAGTGCACACAAACACAAATGTGGTGTAAAATTCCCGACAAAAGCACTACAGGCCACCTTCCCCTCTGGACCTTTGTTTTGAGTTTTCTTTGCCTTTTCCTACATTTCCTATGAATGATATCATGAGTTAAGATGTTTGAAAGTCAATAAAGAAGCTTGAGCACGTGCGGTTAACTCGGCTTGCTAAGTTAGCTAAGTGTGAATAATTTGGTTATTTTGAATTTGAGAGAAATAAATTGTGATTTCCTTTGACATGACTTGGAACTTAATGGAAGAGCTACACAAAGACATTAAATGTTACTTATTTTGATAGTTGTTTAGTGATATTTAATTGAATTGAAGTTACCCAAATGTTTGTAGCATGTGCTCCCATCCGTGCTCCCTCCAAGCCAAGGTGAAAGGTCCGACTGCCAAACGGAAGGTGGGTGAACCCAATGTGATTTATACAAGGGGGAACCTGGATCATACTAAGTGGGGTAGAGAACAGAGGGGTGTTTGGCTGCTGCCCGAAACAGCAGTTATGCAGGTTGTATGTTGAAATGTCAGCCAATCATATGAACTTTTAAGGGCCGACACTGAGAGGAAAGACTGAAAAACAATGAAAAGATAATTTAATTGTCTCTGGCCTAGTAGCTCAAGGTGTAAGAATCTTTCTTCTAAGAAGTCTAAGATTGGTGGTTACGCTCTAACAGGACTTAGAAGTGCTGAGAAAGATGGTTCTTTTCACCTTTGACCAAGTGGCTGGGTTAGAGGGCTACTCTACAGACTGAGGGGTTGTGGGTTCGAATTTCACTTGATCTTAATACTTTTCAGAACAACACCCAGAGGAAAGACTGAAAAGCTTTGAGAAAGACACTCGTTTTGTCTCGCTTGGTAGCTCAATGGGTTAGATACACAGGAATTTTGAGGCCATGGGTTCAAGCCCAGGCCAGTCCATGAACTTTCAAGGCCAAACTACTGCAAAACAAATATTTTTAATTTTGATACTTTAAGTATATTTTACCGATTATACATCTGTACCTTTACTTAAGTAGGATTTACACTGTGGTATCAGCACTTCACCTAAAGTAAAGGATCTGAGTACTTTTTCCACCCCTGCAGAACAGGCCCTATAGGTATTTTATTTACCCCTGGATGGATGTGGTCCATCTAAGACGCTGGTTTGTATTCAGTGTAATGCAAAATAATTTAACCTATAGCACAGATTATTAGAATAACACAGGACACATGAAGATCTGAATTCTGCATAAAACACAAAGACATAGTATCTGTATGTACATTCAAAACTTTATTATGGAATACAGTGTAGAAAGCGTTTTCCCAGTCAATGCAAATGGCCTGCACAATATTACACAGTGGAAAACAAAACCAATATATAACCCACAGAAAAAGATAGAAAGAAAATCCTGCTTCCTCTTCTACTATACTGCCCTCTGTTGGGCTTCGAAAGAGCACCCTCTGAAAACCACGGACCCACCCCACTGCACCCTCCATATATATATACTCATCATTTCTTCACAGATCTTATTCCATTAGATGCATCAACAGAGTGAGAGGTCACGCTGTATTTCTTTCTGTAATGTTGAGATGATGACAAATCTTTAACATGAGCTGACTGTATGAAGATGAACGGGGGGATTCTTGCCCACAAGCTTGAATTTACCTTGGACTAATATTTGATCCCTGCTTTAACATCCTCGCCCCGACTCGCTCTCAGCTCTCGACGGTGAACGCCTATTATCTATATACAGACTCCAGTGCTGTGCCTCTGAGGAGTCAAGTGTGCGTTGATGGCAGAGAGGTGAGCAGCATGCCTGAAGGGACAGGAAGACGAAGAAGGGCGGGAGGGGAAGGGAGGTACTGGGGGAAGTGAAAATCCATTATATATACAGACTGCCTGCCTGGCTGGCTATCCATCCGGAACTGCAAGTCATTTCCTCTCTACCTCACTCTCCTTCCTCCTTCCTCCTCCCCCTCCTCCTCCTCATCCTCCTCCTCATCCTCCTCCTCCTCCTCTCAGCACTTCACCTGTTCTAACAGCAGAAAGCAAAATGATTACAAAACCAAAGAGAAACGGCGTCGGCTTACAACTGGACGAAACACCAGACTGAAAATGACAAAAGCACGCACACGCAGAGATAATCCTATCCCCTCCCCCATCCCGACTTCACACATTTTTCCATCTCCCTTCCCGCTCCCTATAACCTTCATCCCCATAACAGGCCCTTTTCAGAAAACACAGTAACATGAAAAGCAAAAATTAAATAGGGTAATGTCTGAAAGCCCCAATGCATGAGGGTTTTTAACACAATATATTTCAGTGAATGAGAATCAAATACAAATAGAGATGAAGCCAGCCCCCCTCCTTTAGCTTCAGGAACGTAGCATGGTATTAAAAAAATAATAAGAGAAATGACAAACACACTTAAATTCCAAAATCACAGATCTCATTTAAATGTGTATTTTACATGATATCAAAGCAGAGCCTGTTCATCTAGATTTATATATATTTTTCTTCATTGTTTGAAGTCACGTGATCACGAGAAGATACTAAATGTACAATCTTGCTAGAATGACAATCTATAAGTGAGAAAGGATCTCAAGAGAGAGCAGCGTTAAGATCTTGTTTTTGTTTTTTTTTTTTGTTTTTTTTTTGTTTTTCCAAATCCTGTTGTCATTGTTGTCATGCACTACATAGGAACAGCTAAGACTTGAGCATTACTTCAGCAACATTACACGCAATTTAAAAAAAGGACTTTACATTGGCTGATTTTTTTTTTTCTCTGTTTTCATTCTTTTTTGAAAAACAAAACTGGAAACGATAGAGAAAAACTCTAAAATAAAAACAGCTCATTCAGAATACATAGTTACTACTGTCATCATCAACATATTCATTATCATCAGCATCTCCAAATATCCTTAAGAGCCTTGTGTGACTTAACACAGCCCAGCTGTCGTAAGAATGCACAAAGAAAAGAGGATGAAGGGAGGGATGAAGAAGGAGGAGGGGAGGGAGAGGAGGCTCACTTATACTCCAGTGTAGACTGTAGAGTGAGTGCAGTAGTGGTGCAGTAGGAGGGGAATCACTGGGCCTCGTTTACAAAAATCCTGTTGCTTGATTTAAATATATTTCATTCTATGATCATTACAAAGAACATGATAGAAACAAATGAATATGTCTACATGTTGAATAATGTTTTGAAATGACTGATTGATTCATCTGCATGCAACCAGTTCTTGTAAACGAGGCCCAGGTTCAGCGTGTGCCTCTTATCCTACTGATCAGTGGTCAGATTTGCCTACACTAAATCCACAACTAAAACTTTCCCAAGCCAAAAAGAAACCCCAACTATACACTGGCCCTGAATCAGTGTGGAGAGAACCCGCTTCTTTCCCCTATGGGTGGGTTTGTTTTGATGCACTGGGCGGGGCCTTTTTCCATACATCAGCAGGCCCAGACGGAGCAACATATAAAACACCCTTTTTATTTTTTTATTAAAAGGGGTCTTGCTCCAATAAAGTGAACAAACTTGGTGCAAACTGGCTTGGCCACAGTGTCCGCCCAGGCGAGAATGAAAGAAAACCCCTGGCTACAGTCGCTCCTTTTGCTCATAACTGACTATTTTAGTCACTCCATGATGTAAGCCACACTGCCTTTTAGAGACGTGGGACTAGTCGGAGAGGGTGGGGGGATGGACGGGGGGGTGGATGGGGGGCGTGGGGGGTGCATGATGTGTGGGAGGAGATGTTCATGTGTGTGTGTTTACGTCTGTGTGTGTGTGTTGTGTGTATGAGAGTGTGTATGTACATGTGACATTCTCCTCAGTTCTGCAGCTGCTCAAAGAACTTGTAGGTTGGGTTCTCGTAACCATTCTGCTGCATCTTAGACAGGTGGCGCTCCTCGGGGGTGACGGCAGCGTCCACCTGGAGGTGAGCCAGAGAGCAGGTGGGGGGTTACACACATGAACACTCATATAGTGCACATAAATAAAGAAACAGGGCTGACCCGACTAACGTATTCTTTTAATTAAACGGCTAATGAAAGTTCTGAAAGGATAAATGAGGATAATTAAAAAAGCACAGAACAAAATTAATTGGCCTTAATCTAATTATATTTAGTGAGTATTTTCTTCCTCAGTGTACCATTCCTGCTATACTTTTCAGACTTAAATGAAACAATAATACAAATCTACACCTATATCAGTATAAGTGCTGTAGTGACAGGCAGCTTGAACTGACACGTGCATGCACAGCATGACGCTCACACAGCAGATTGACTGCCATGCAGAACAGCTTGTACACAGCTCACACAAACACAGGTCAGCTGTTTCTCACCTCGATGACTCCGTGGTGGATGGAGGTGTACTGCTTCTTCCTCAGCATCACCAAGGTGATGACGATCACGGTCGCTATGACGACACCTCCAACCATCAGGCCGATGATAGCGCCCTTGTTGGAGCCGACATCCTCTGCAAAGAAGACCTGAAGGGCAGACAGATGATCAGTCAGTCACATGGCAACAACCAATCACAACCGGCAGAGTTGAAACCTGGATGATTTTAAAATCATCATGTCTAAAGAACTTCTAATTGTGTTGTTGTGTGTTTGTGACACTGTTGAATAATGAGAGCAGCTTTAGTTTTCAACACAGCGGGAGAGTGAACTGTGCTTGGTTTGGTTTTGATGTCACTTCCCTCAGGGAGACAATAATCTCTTGTAGCTGCTGCTACCTGCAGCTCATTTACTTCTGTTTCTTCCTCATTTTCATTTACACATTTACAAGTTGTTCTGCAGCGCGTGCTTTGTCTAATTACATCATGTATTTGTCTTTGTCATTTTTAAAACTCTACAGTCATTACATCATCAGATCATTACAGAGTTGAATTTAGCTTAAAAAACAACTGCTTTGCTGCTGTTTAACAAAGACATGTTACAGAAACGCACATAGACATGACAAACACTGTAAATTGACTTATTTTTAAGGGGTATTTTGCTGGTGTAGACTTTAATTTCTTCCAGTGGCTGTCAGGTGATTTACAGAAAACAGAGCTTAACACAGAGAAGCAGTGATGCAGCATGACTCAGCTCGAACACAACACAATACTAACGATTTAAAGAAATTCCCACAACCAGATGAAGGCTTCAGATTCTCTGTTGCAGATCCTGCTGCTCTTCTTACAGTAAAAGAATAAATAGAAGCAAATGGCGATTTTTGAAGGGAGGAAAACAAGTCCTGGTGTCTCCAACTATGTGGACGTTCCTGTCAATCGGCACAAACTTCACAACACAACTAAAGCATCTTGACATTTCAATATGCCTGCTTCTGTCAATGAGTGGGGGTTTAATTTCAGGCTGGTGAGCCTCCTCCACAATAATCCCACAGGACGCTGATTGGGGGTAACAGTGAATATCAAGCTGAGTTAAGGAGGCAGCCTGACACACTGACTGCTCCTTGTCAATGTAAGAAATGTGATATGTAATAAAATGTAGGGATTAAGGGATTAAAGCCTTTAGGTGAGAGGAATAAAGTGTTTGGATTATAATTTGACTGAGGATGGATTGAGGTTTTTGTGCTGGTACTACAATATTGGATGAGATTAATGAATGAATGCAGAACTGGGTTGGAGCCTTATTATGTTTCGCACAATAACCTGTAGCTGACCAGTGAAATACTTACAGATATAAACTGCACAAAACTTAACTCTGATCAGAGGACAGTGGATTTTAGAGCAAGCAAGTGTGACGCACGCACTACCGTGGTGTATCCATGGACACCTGTCTCCATGGTGACAACCTTGGGAGTTTACAAGAAGGACAAGGAAGTAGAAACATGGACCTGACTCTGTGTGTGTGTGTGTGTGTGTGTGTGTGTGAGTGTGTGTGTGTGAGTGTGTGTGTGTGTGTGTGTGTGTGTGTGTGTGAGTGTGTGTGTGTGAGTGTGTGTGTGTGTGTGTGTGTGTGTGTGTGTGAGTGTGTGTGTGTGTGTGTGTGTGTGTGTGTGTGTATGTGTGTGTGTGTGTGAGTGTGTGGATGAGAGTGCAAGTTTGCATGCGTCAGTAAATGCATCTTCATTGTTCATGTGTCTATTTCTCTGTGTTTAATAATTAACCTGTGTATCTACTCAAATCAGTGAGTTTCAAATGAGTCTGCACATCGGCACTGTTTGTGTGTGTGTGTGTGTGTGTGTGTGTGTGTGTGTTGGCTTACCAGTTTCTGGTGGTGAACTTCATATTCAGTGCTTTGTCTGTCCTCTGTCTCCATCCGCAGCTCAGGAATAGCTTCCATCTTCATTCCAGTCACTGGCAAGGGAAGGAAAAGTACTATCTATTATAGATGGTGACACTCAGCTGCTTTCTCTCCCTCACACACAAACTTGCTCAAATCAAGCTCACTCGCTCAAGCAGGAAGGACAGCAGAGCACTGGGTGTAACAGCATGGAATGAATATTACTAATATAGTACAGCATATGCAGGATGCATAGACTCTGCAACAGCATCACAAATCTCCTAACACCTGCAGCTGGTGCCTTAATGGAGGTCAAGCGGAGTTGGCTGTGTGCAAATAATGGCTGAGAGAGGCAGAGATAGTGGCGAAACATTTTCCTGACTTTACTGCAAGTCTTATCATGGATTTGAAGAGGAGACCTGACTTAACCTGAATAAATATTTTTTTCTTACTGGAGGCTACTGTAACAAAGTTGTTAATAAAATGAACACAGAATTGTAGCCATGAACTTAGTGGTGTTTGATTGATTATCTATTATGACCTACATATGTTCTCAAGACAATGATCATTAGGATACCAGATAATGTGATTTATTGGCATACAACAAGCATTGATAATGAAGCACATATACTGGTACTCCTTCCTAAAAAGGCACGTTTTATTGTGGGCCTAGAAACTGTAACCAACAGATTTATTAATGGTTAATAAATAATAATATACTCCTGCTACTAGAAAAGTACTAGAATACTTTTCTATATATCTAGATTTATATTTCATATGTGGCCGAGATACGGGTACAACAGGGCCTCCAGTACTGCCACTAGAGGGTGCATGCCTTCAACAAGAGCCATCTTTACATATATGCAAACATTGATAAGGGCCTTTGAATAAAGTGCTTGTAAACACTTATAGAGGTGGTAACCTGGCAACCTGGTAGGCAGGGTGTGACAGAGTCAACAGCATATTATCCTCAGGCCTTAAACCCCGACCATCTCATTTCTAACAGCATATCAAAAGTTAAAATCACAGCACTGGGAGAGCTTCTTCAACAATGGCACCAACCTGGTCGTGTGGGAATGCCTCTGTCAAGATTAGGGCGAGAGTCCACTGGCTCAACTAGAGGGAGAGAGAGAGAAAATTTCACTTTGAAATCATTTTTTAGCACGACAATTGTGCAAAAACTCAAAAAGGTAAGCAATGTTCTTCACGCGACACAGGCCAAAAGCAGAATGTTGCCTTGTTTGGGTGTAACTTTAATCAACCTTGAAGCAACTAAAGTGTAGCTGCTGTTCTTTGACAATGTTATCAGTGTTATCAACAGCCCAGTGCGTCAGTGAGTACCCTGGTTCTCAGTGTTGGGCTGGTTGAAGATCTCAGGGTGGATGAAACCAACTCCTGCCAGGCCTAGAGTGTCTTCCTGGGGCAAGAGGTCGGTCTGGCCATCTCCCAGCTCCTGGTCGGGCATCAGGGCATCGTTGCCGTAGCTCACCCTCACATCTGTCTGCAGGTTGGCCAGCTGCTGGGCCATCTCCGCCTGCTCCCTCTGCAGGAGCTCTGGATGGACGTGATCGAGGAGACAAGAAAGAAGACAAAAGGAAGGAGGGACAGAAGAGGGACAGAAGTGGAAGGGAGTGTCACTTCATTTATCCAACTATTATCCAACTTCTTGTATTTAGTTGCTTTCAGTTAGTTTCATCATTAAATGCACTGTATGATGAAAATATTGCTGATGATAAAAGAAGGAAACATTTCTTTGGTAATTAGAATAAAAATAGGAAAAGTGAAATTTTAAAGTTGTCAGTGTGTTTGTAATTTCTACTTAAAAGAAATACTATACCCCATGCAAATGTTTCTCTATCAGAAGGGATGGACAGCCTCCAAGACACGTTTAGCTCATTTTTTCTTATCGACCCGCTGCCTGGTAATGACTGGATGGTGCTCTTACTTCTGTATATGTGTGTTCCTGTGTTTGTGTGAGTGTGTGTGTGTGTTTTGCTGGGCAGCACAGGCTGTGACAGTCTCTGAGACAGAGACACAGATGGCTGCGTGACGCACGCAACTCCAATAAACCCAAAAACCTAACAAACGCAGGGGCAGGATGGAGGGAGGGGAAGGGGATTTATCTTCTCGGCAAACAGTTTCATTTGACAGAAGAATTAGGCCAAATGGCTCCAATGCCCTTATCAACAAAAAATAAATAAATTGTATTTTTGGGGGCTGGAATTTGGAGCATTCAATCTCTCTGTTACATGTAGCACAATCAGGACAGTGTGTCATCCTCTATCTTTCTCTCTCTCTGATGCCAGGGTCAGCACTCACACAGTGAACTGAAGACATTGAAAATTCATATTAACAAGATGCAATGATTTTTATTTTCTTGTCTCCATTATCTCTCGGCTAAAAACCCCTGTCCATCTTTCTTGGCTTCTCTTCTATGGTTACATTATATTTGCCTGCAAGTTTTAAAGGCTGGGATTTATGCTTTTTAGCTTCTAATGTTAACTGGATTCTATTTTTGACCAGAGTCTCAAAATGACAAACTCACCAACTTGGTCCTGGATGTCGTCGGCCACGCCAGGCACCTTGTAGAGAAGTCCCAGAGACTGGTTCATACGCTCCTCAATGACACGCAGATGGGTCAGCACCTATCACACACACACACACACACACACAAAACTTGCAACAGCTTTTCTTCTCCTAACGCAAACAGTGTTTAAGTGAAAGGACGGTCTAAATGAGAATAAACAAAATTGTATTTATATAGTATATAAAAAGCAGAGTCATAATGTATAGATCTATAACTACTGCTTTAAATGAGGGTAAGATTACCTGAGGTCTAATCTGGGCTGCCTTCTTGGGATCCACCATGCGGACGTGTTCAAAGTGTTTGAGAGTGTGCTGCCTATCCTTCTGCTCGGCACGCACGTACTTCTTCAACAGGCTAAAGACGTGGCGAGGCTACGAAAGACGTGGGAGAGGATGAGACAGATAGTTAAGAGCAGAGGAAGGACAGTGTGATGTATTTATATACAGGCTGCATCAGAAAACAAACCAACACAGTGATACAAATCCATAAGTATTCATCAGTATATTGTTATTGTCCATTCTCTGTGAATGTCTATTATTATTCAATGTACAAGTTCAGCCTTTAAATGTGTTCAACTTTTGGACAAAAGCACGGCAGGTCAGCTAAAGGGAGTCATGACAACATCTCATTTCAAAAGAAAATAGAACAAGAAATATCCTGATGAAGAGGAATGGCAGGACAATATAAGCTCTGCGAGAAAATCAAAGCTACAGGGAAGGTAACGCTGCTGCACTGCGTATGAAGCATACCCGGGGTGGGTCCTGCTGCAGGGCGGTCAGGTAGCTCTCCAGAGCCAGGCGACGGCGGTCGTTGAGCAGAGCCTCCACCCGGGCCATGTGGGTCTCCACCAGCTGCTGGCGCTCGCTGGCCGCCTCCTGCTCCAGCGCCTCCACCTTCTCCTGGAAACGCTGCAGGCATAAACACAACGTCAGATGAAAAGGGCACCAAAAAAAACAAAAACTAAACTAAAACTGGTTTCGTAAATGTCTTACCTGGATGACGGCTTTCTTGTCAGCACGTGGAAGATTCTTGGCTTCCCTCTCAGCCTCCTCCCACTCTCTCATCACCTGAGAACAAGAAAAGGATGGAAAAACATTAATTAGACTTGTCGATCAACTTTATCTTTTCAGATGTTCTATCCCGGGTCGATTTTACACTTGAGTGAAACATCTCATTGCTCTTTGTGGCACAGATCTGATCTTTTCACGGCTGTCTAAATGGAGGAATATATGACGTTTTACATGGCTATGAAACGATAGCATCTAGGCTGCAGAGGGTAAACATTTGATTGTTCCAGTCTGTGTAAATAATCCCTTCAGATCGTGTTGATATGAGGGAGTTTTTTTAGGTAAATCACATTGGGGGGGTTATATTCTGAAGTCTGAAATAAACAGTTTCTGTTCCCTGTTTGGTCTCTTCTTCTTTGGAAAGATGATTGTACATCCTCTTCAGTTCTTTCCCCCCTGACTCACTTTTTTCATTCAGCTCAGGCCCAAAAGACGTGGCCTCACAGTATCTGTAAGGGTGAAGTCAACTGTGTGAAATCGGATGATGCTGCGTCTGTAGCTCTCCAAGCAACAACAAGTAGCAGACCTAACCAGAGCGTTGCTCTTCGAGCAACAAAAACGTTGCTCTAAGTGCAGTAGAAGGGTGTCAGTGTTCTTGTCTGGAGCTTTGAAAAAGCTGTGACGTTGCCGAGGACCATCTGGCCCTCCGCCGGAGAGCGAGCCGCTTGATTAAAGAATACAATTAAAATAGAAATGGTTCAGTCAGCTTACCCGGGAGGGATTAACAGACGCACCTATTCATTTTACTTGCCACACCTCTTTTCCCTTTATTTTCTATTCATAGAAATATCTTTGTCGTCTCCCTGCTCCAAAGAAAATCCTCCTTTCTGTTCTCCCTGCACAGCCACCATTACTCATCCACACGCATGTGGTGACTGCTGATCAACTTTAAGCCTGTTAAATAATAAAATAACATTTATTGTTAAAAAATAAATCTTTCCTTCCCTCTCTGTCAGTACCTGGGACATCCTCTCACGGTGCTTGGCCTCCAGGCTCTCTTTGGCCTTCTGGAAGTGGGCGTGTTCGTTTTCGTCAGTAGGTGTCTCCAGGTAGTGGTCCACGGCGTCAGGGGAGCTGGGTGTGGCTGTGGGTACTGCATGACATGGAGGTAGAGGGAGAAAAAGAGGAGGCGGGGAGGTGAAAAGACTTCCAGTGGAGCATCTTTTTATTGCACACTTTCATGTGGTTGACCGGGGACTGGCTGCATTGCCTCAGCACGAATGAACACAAAACACACAGCCCGAAATGGGTTAATAGGGTTAATGTGAGACCGATAGAGGAAGGAAACAAGATAGTAGCTGTAGCTGGAAGCCAGCGCCCTCCAAAAGCAAACAAGTGAATGTCTCAGATGACCTGCAGTCCTTTGTAGAGACAAAGAAACAAGAGACAAAAACTCTCTCTCATTTATATAACTTCATTCAGAGCGTGATATGGCTCCCCTGCCAAAACACTGACGCTGGAATTTATCCTGTGGGCTCAGAAGCACAGACTGAATTGTGGTCGACATATCAGCCAGAAATGTAAGTGGATCATATCATTATATTGCGTGAAAGCTAGATTTAATCAGCGGAAAGTTGATTATCTTTCATAAGTGTGTTATCAAAAGTGGCTGGTAGTGTGTGTTTGTGTGCGAGTGTGTGTGCTTGCATGAAGGTCGCACGTCATGTGAAACTGGTTACATGTGATGAGAGTGCGTGACTGCACAAGACACGAAAACAACGGGAAGATGTTATTCACTTTGACCTGAGCCGAGTGTTCCTTAAAATAATTGAAAGAAAAAGATTTACAGAAAAAAACTTAAACTCATCAGCATCATGTGGATAGATTTTTAGTTTAATTTACCCAGGGTTAGAGGTGTCCTGCCTCCATCTCAACACAGTGGAGGTATTCACTCCTGTACACTGTATTTAAAGGAGCAATCCACTAATTCTTTGGTTAAATTTTCACATTCCAATTTTATTGTCATTGCTGCTAAACATTCACAGCTGTAATGTTTCTGCACTGTATACTTTTCACAAATCAAAAGCACTGAGACATATTTTTCCCTTATTGACAATTTGTTTCCTTGCAAATGTCCTATTTGCTCCCTAGTTCAGTACATTTATTTTACACCATTTTATGGGAGTGCCTCCCAAAAGTCACAGAATGGGTTGAACAATTTGGCCTCCGTGGTATGTATATTACCTTTTGCTAGAAATGTCACAGTGCAATGTCTGCCCTTATGATAGATGTGTAAACTACAGTTTTGTAGACTAGACCTGTCAGTGATGGAGCAATTCAGAATCTAAACTGGCAGAAATATCAATTTACCTCCCACTATTGAGTGTTTATTAGGCAGGGAGTAGTGAGAGTGTCAACAAGGGAGAGATTTTGGGCACAGCATGGGCTTTTGAAGGAGACATTTAACCCTTGTGGCCATTACTGCGTATGTTATCTACAAAGTTCCTGTTTATTCCACACAAACTGCTCTTGTTGCTGACCAACAGGAGAGCTTTCATTAACTGCACAAATGATGAATCAATGTAATGTTAGAACAAACGCAGACAGAGAACAACGACAGAAAAGTGACATTTGCTGTGTCAAAATTACTGTGATTATATAAGCTTTATACTTAGAAAAAAACAGCCATTTGACAAAATGCCATTTGCACAAGACTGACTGTGAGTGAATATTAATTGGCCACACATGCAAGTACAGTGTGTGTATGTCCGTGTGTGCCTGTGCTGGCACTGGAGGAGGGACTGCAGCACTTTCTCACCTCGACTGTGAGCAGAAAACCTATATCAACACACACATGCACACAAACTCATGTACTTATATACACACACACTGAGGATAAAACTAGATCCAAATATAGGGAGATGGAGATAGCATGACTCCGTTTCGCTGCAGGGCAGATCATGCACTTCGTGACTGAGACGCACACACACACAGACACAGACACAGACACACACACACACACACACACATATCGCGCAAGGTCACTGAACCTTACACAACGCTAAAATCAGCATCAGAGCCAAACGCTTAAACTGCCTTCCGCTCCCCACTATAAGGCACAAGCCCCATCTGCGCGCGCGCACACACACACACACACACACACACACACACACACACACACACACACACACACACACACACAGACACACAAACAATCTTCTGGCAATGAAAAAAAAAATGCCAGGGGGAAATTGGCTGGGCAAAGCTGGAGTGAGTTACTGTTTAAAATCCAATCACTTCAGTTTTTGAGTGAACAATCACGTCTAGCTCAACAGAGAGAGGTGAGAAGTCTCCATTACTGTGAAATTCCAATGGACAAACTTTTTAACAAGGTGTGAAAATCATCAAGCAATCAGCCCCATTTTCAGTTCTGCCACTGATAATCAATCATCACAACGTGATATAGAAGGCAGGTGTGCTCTGAGAGTATGTAATGATGTATTGATGAGTTTTTCCTTACCGCTGCCTTGGAGACGCTGCACATTTTCAAAACTGCAGCAGGGTAATTTGACACCCGATTTAAGTAAATTGAATGAATTAACCGGAACGTATTTCCTAGGTGACAAGGATGGAATAATGTAAGCAAGCCTACAATGTGTCAGGGATGTAAAGGATAATGTGCAGCGAGGTGAGGATTATTGCAAAATAATTCCTGCCTGGATGGTTTTACAGCTCATATTCATGCTAAAGTAATATATAAGATGATGCCCATGAAATTGGCTGTAATCACCGAAATTAGAGTAGTTATCCCACCTGCTCTAAAGGGCATCAGCTCTGTAACCATGGTAATGTAAAGAAAAATCATTCAGCCTCTACAGCAAATTGTCCATGAAAATGAACCCTATGTATCTAACTGTTGTTATTGCAGCATTTGCTTTTGGCACCGTGTTTCACCAAGTAATTTTTATAGAAATAAGTAGATTCAACTTTAATCTGATATTTGGAAATATCAAACCTAAGAGTCTCTTCAGTGAGGATTCTGAAAAGGCATGCAGTTTCTGTTTATTGTCATGGCTCGAACACACTGCTAAACCCACCTCACCGGCTCTCGACATCTTCCAAAACACAACTAGATGCACTGTGGCTCAAAGTGAAATGTAAATGCTTCACAAAACGTCTCACACTAGAAGGTACAAAGTGCAAAGGCAGCAGTGAGCGCACAGGCCGTCAGGTTAGTGGCTTCAAGAATCCACAAAGGATTATGGGAAAGGTAAAGTCTGTTTTTGGTGAAAACATATTTTGTGGTTGTCGGACACACACACACACACAGGCGCACAGGTAGTGAGGAAAAGTGAGTGTTAGCCAGGAATGGAGCTGACAGGTAAGGATCAACTGGAAGAGAAGCACACCAAGCAAGAAACCTTTGAGCAGCTGTTAATACCTAGGGGACAGCTCGGAGAGACAGCGAGTAAACGTGAGGGTTAGAGACACACCGGAGATGGAAACAACTGCCATTCAGACCAGCGATCTGCTGGTCGAGGTTAGCTGCTGTCGGCCGGACTTACTGACACTGCTGCAGACAGACAGGCAGTACTCCTCTGACTCAAAGTTATTCCTGTTGCCTCCACAGCCGCCGTAGATAAACTGAGCACAGCGGCCCTCCTGTCGGTCAAAGTACCAGCGGGGCAGCATGGCCCGGCATGGACCTGTCTCTGCATTGGCCCAGCACACATCTTGGAGGACACACACACACACACACACACACTTGTCATCATGCACGAGCTCACCATACACCATGTAAGCACATCATCTTTTTGTCAAAGTCTTTGTAAAGATCTCAGGTGATCACCTATAAAACATGGACACATAGAAATAAAATACTTAATGTTACATTACAGGCTTTCAGCATTATTAATGCTGCTTGGAATTGAATTTAAGAACAATTTAACACTGAAATAAAGAAACAAAGCTGTTACAACCAATTCTGATCCTAATGGAACGTAGCTAATGAAAGCTGTGAAATGACAAATGAGCACAATTAGAAAAATGACAGCAGGAAATTAATTGTTGAGGAACATGAAGTTCAATTGTGTTTAGCAAAGCATTGAAAATGGGGAACACACATTTTGTGTGTTGCACCACTGAGGTTGTTCCACATTAATCTAAATGCAAAGAAACCTCATCAGTGATATTCTGTTAATGAAAAAAAACAAAAATAACCATATATAAAAATGGAAGATGTGAACCAAAACTACACACACACACACACCCACATCAGAAAATATTACTCACCCCTGACAACTTCTTCCACAGATTCAGTGGTGGTGGTGGTGGTGGTCGTCATGGCAACGTTGGTGGTGGGCTCGTCGGCATCATCGTTGTCGTCGAGCGTGTCAACAATGTCGTCGTCTCCCTCCTCCTCCTCCTCCTCTTCCTCCACCACCTCTTCGTCCTCCTCTCCGTCTCCGTCCTGGTCGTTGTCCAGTAGGTCATCCTCCTCCTCTTCTTCCTCGTCTTCTTCCTCGGGCGCCACCTCCTCCTCTTCCTCTTCCTCTTCCTCCTCTACCACAGATGGCCTGGTTTCCTCTTGCTGCTCCACTGGCTCCGGCTCCCGCACCATACTGGGAGAGAAGGAGGGATGGTAGAAAAAAGGAAGGGAGAAAAGATGAAGGTGAGGGGGGAAGTGGAGAGACATATGGAGTCAACAAGAACAATTTCAGGAAGGAAAGGTGTCAGAGAAAGAGGGATGAGCAAGACAAGGAGGATGAATGAGAAGGAGGGAGGGGCAGAGACTCTAAATTACAACCAACCTGCAGTTTGCTTTTTTATCCTCAACGCAATGTTGAAAATGAAAGTGGCAGCAACTATGATCATCTGAGTGCTGATGTATTACTCTGCTGCTGCCTTGCCCTCATTTATCTGTGTGTGTGTGTGTGTGTGTGTGTGTGTGTGAGTGTGTGTGTACCTGTTGTCAGAGTAGTCAGTCTCTGCTCCACCCCACCAGACATCAGAATCATCAGCATCCTGTTCAGCACTGTCGGCGTCACGCTCCGCCTCAGCGGGACAGCACACAAACTCCACTCCTCGGAAACGGTCGATGCCGCACGGCAACAGCATCCCATAATCATGGAGATTCATGGTGCGGTCTCCACAGGACTACAGAAAGACAGTGAGGAGTAGACAGGAACGAGGAGAGGAGATCAGTATATATTTGTGCTAAACATTGCCATAGGGTGTGTGTGTGTGTGTGTGTGTGTGTGTGTGTGTGTGTGTGTGTACTCACCTCCTTGGCTACAGTGTGCCAGTGCAGGTGGCTCTCACACTGGTCCATGCGCTCCTGGTGCAGGAACTTGCACTTGTCAGGAACGAGCAGGGCGTCGCTCACAAACTCTCCCACTGCAGCAGAACCAATATCCAGATTTTTAATTCCCATGCGCACACACACACACACACACACACACACACACACAAAACAGGCAGCTTGAGCCCACCCTTCTGACTGACTGTAGACACATTTGAAGCACCACACTCCAACAGAGCATAGCTGACTCCTTGGTTGCTATGGTAACCCATAGAGTAACCTGAGCATCTCTTTTCCTCTCTTGCTTTTAATTCCTAAAAATGAAAACTACTTTCTAGAAATGTTTCCGCACAGGCACTGGAAACTGTGTGCGTCAGTAAAAAACACACATTGGACTCACCCAGGCAGCGGTAGGGCACAACGATGTGCATGTGACTGCGACACTGCTTGCGCCCCTTCTTGCACCAGTTCTGGATGCTGACTGGCTGGTTGGCCTCCACCACGTTGGTAATCTGGAGCTCTGGGTACACCTACACACACACACACACACACACACACACACACACACACACACACAGTATTGTATATTGTAACAGTGTCACAGCACAACAAAGGAGAAAGAGAGAAGAATAGGTTTTCCTCTTCGTGAACAGTGGTAGCCTCTGTCCATCACCTACAGCTCCAGGAAATCTTGCATTCACCCTCCCTGTGTCCTACACTGCTCATTTTTTAATACAGTACGTTTGCCCTGCAGCCTTCTCTTTTTTGCATTCTTTCCTTGTTCAACTTCCTCTGGTCCTCTAACTCTGAGGGCAGCTTTGCTCTTGCTTTGTTATTCTATTGAGAAATATGGGAAAACATTTAAGGAACCCTGGTTTTCTGAAACATTCTGATCCTTGCATTACTGCGGTGCTCATTGATGCCGTTTCTGCTTGGCAGGCTCCGCTGTGTTTACTTCTATGTTCCCCTCAGCCATGCATGACATCTGCCTCTGCACAAAATTCAATGTGTCATCTCTCTCCAAATACCCCTCCCCTCGCCCTTCTCCATGACACCTCCTCTTCTATTTTCTCTCCCTTCATGCCTCCCACCAGGCTGAGGAAAAAATAATAATTCCATAAACTTCTTGTTCCTACTTACATTTGCCAAATGGGAAACTGATTTGGTAAATATTTGCTTGTTATCGCTGGACTTGTTATTCGTGCGAACACAGGAGGGATGAACTTATCGTCTTTTGAGCCCCTCTGAAATGCCTTTCAGAGAAATCTTATTATGCATCTACAACAGTGAAGTTCACTGTGTTGTATTGCTGCGTCTGGTCTGGTTAGCTTTCACCTAATAATAACCTAACCCAGGCTTGTAAAGTAAAGTCACATGGACTTAAGCAGCTTGTTTACTGAGCAGAGTTTTGGCATCATGTCATCCTGCCAAATTGGGGATTTCGGTGAATAAAAACAAATCTGCTGCAGACTCTGCAACACAATCATGATGGAAATGACTGTGCTCTATATTCTTAAAACCCAACAAAAACAAATATCTCAGACTGGCCCCTAATAAACACAATCCTTTGTGCTTTGGGGTTGGTTCATACTATTCACATTTTCAGGAATCTTTGAATGAATGCATTTTTTGGTTCATACGTTTGAAAAATATTCTCACTTGCAAGTTCTCGAAAATGAAAAAATACAATCCAAATGAACTCCTCTAAAGTGTTTCCAATAAAGAAACTACTCTCCTGCCTGCTCAATCATTGTAAATTTCTCAGTGTCAGCTTAATGGCTAAATTGTCTGATCAAAAATCAAACTAAAATATCATGAGGTTAAAAATGTATCATCCAGGCTTACTGCTAACACAAAGCAAAATAAACACTGGGTAATAACATCTTAAGAAAGTGGCCAAATTAGAGACATTTTCAAGCCATGATGAATTATTATTAAAAAAAAAATGAAACCCCTTGAAATTTCACCTTCATATTATTATTGTTTTAAAATTATCCTGACATTCAATATCTATATTCCCCACCTTAACTTCACCCCTTCTGGCTGCTACGCTTTACTACAATACATACAATTAAGATTCACATCAGCTTTAAAGGTGGACTTTATCATCTTGTCGCCTCAGACTTAATTGATTCAGCAGAGGAAATAAATTGTTGTACATATAGAACCGAAGGTGAGCAGCTTCCACTATCCTACATACACACACACACACACACACACACACACACACACACACACACACACACACACACACACACACACACACACACACTCCCCAAATTTTACCTCCTGGCAGTACTCCAGGATGCCCTCCTTGGTGCCGATGCAGCTCTTGGTGCCTGAGGGGTCTGGCTCCCACTTGCCGCTCTGCACGTTGATGTGCATGTTGAGTTTACTGCAAAACATGGCCACCTGGGGCTCTGCCAACAGACCCATAGAAACATCTGTAGGCACCTAGAGGTGGGGACAGATGTGAAAGAAAGGGAGAAAAAGACAGAGAGATTTAATGAGACTTACCACTCATGTTAAACTCCTTGAGCACTTGCGCTGAAAAATGCAAGACGGATGCAATTAAATTTTATTACTTGGATAGAGGGGGGCCGGGAGAGGAGAGGAGATTAGTGTGTTCGATGAAATGAGGTGAGCTGGTTTAAGACGAGAGGAGCGGGAGAGGGCTGAGGGAGGGGGGGGGGGCGAGGGGTTCGCAAAAAGAGGGTAATTTTCCTTCCTCAATTTCATCATCACTTTGGGTTTGATTTCTGTGTCCTTATAATCAAACTCTTGCTCAGGCATACACAGTGCCTCTGTTCATGTTTTCCATTGGACTTTTTTCAAATGTGCAAAAAAAGATGGACATCAAAAATCAATAGCTTCAGAGGAATAAATTGCCTCAAACAACAGGCCTGGAGCAATCCACTGCACCCTCTGTTTTCTATGATGTTCATGCACAAGCACACACACCCACTCAACTGCCCTGTGCAACACCATTTATGGGAACAGTGTACATCTCTCTGCCCATAAAGGCTGTTTTCAAGTATTTTCCAGGGCAGTATAGTGTTTATATAACCCTCAGTTGATTTGTTTTTGCTTCATTTCTCTCTGTTAGTGCAGCACATTCTGAGCATAAGAGCAGGTTGGCTGGAGGCAAGGGGAGTGTGTGTGAGCAAAGGTGTGTCTGTGTGTGTGTGTGTGTGTGTGTATGTGTGTGTGAGACAGAGAGAGTCTGCCTTTGGCGTGAATGTATAAATTTTTGTGTTAATTTACGCTCCCGTGTGTTGATTTGCGTCTCTGCGTGTGTGTCTGCCTTCATAAGGAGGTTTTGTGCCGAGGCTCCCCGAGGAGAGGAGGTGCAGACAAACCACTGAATGTCTGCATTGTACTGGCAAATGAGCTAGAACAAAATGGGAGGGAATACGGCGGGGGAAAGAGAAGGAGATGGAGGGAGGGAGGAGAGGGACTGTTGCCATTGTGTGCTCCCTAATCTTGTTAATGGTTTTGAAGGCCCTGGCAGGCAAACAAATGCTGTTTTGTGAGATGGATAGCATATTTTTTCCTCCAGACTTGATTTTCTCCAAGCAGCCGGGGGCATAAAGTCCTCTTCCAATATGAGAATAGCTGGTGGGGGCAATCAATTTGGATTAAATTTGAAGTTGAAAACTCAAATGTTTGGATTGATTTAGCTGCCATGTATCTGGTGTTCCAGTGGAGAGATGGACTTTATCAGCTTGCATTATATTCCATTTATACACATTGGCTGCATTTACACTCTTGGCAGAAGAAGAAAACAGTACTCTCTGCAGCTGTTCCTTTTCTATTTACAGTTGACTGCACCCAGAGAGTCCAGACTAAGCAGAAGAGAAAAGCTTGCCAGTTACTCAAACATGAGGTGAATGTAATAAAATCAACACCTGTACAATGTAATGCCGTCTAATGTGCACCAGAAAGTCAACATTTGTAAAGCTTGTAATGATCAGTTTGAGGCTGTGGAGGGGATTTTTGTTAAGTGCTGTTGCTTTACTGCTTAGCACTAGATTTTAAAGTGCAGCTCTACAGGTGAATGGATAGGGGCTGGTGGAGCTTGTGACTGGTGCAAAATATTAAGAAGATCCACAAACACTGAATTTATTGCGGCACTACTGTGTTGCTTTAAGGGCAGGTGTGATACTGTCCCAAATCAGACTCAGGCCATTAACTAGACAAATAAACATCAGGCTGGATTATGGGTAATAACTTCGTAACTATATTAATGTGGTATCTCTAAATATAAACAAAGTGCTTACAGTAAAATAAGGTCAAAGTCTTTACCTGACAATAAAGACAAACAGGGCAGAGCCAGTGATGTGATTGGCTGTCCTCTCATTCTGACCAAAGCAAAAGCCATTAATTGACAAATACTTTGTCACAAAAAATGACGTTGTTAAATAAAAAGTTAAGAAAAATAACAATTTGAAATTAAAATTAATTACTTTTACATTTACTAAATGCTCTTACTGTGAAAAGATGCAAGATGAACGAACAATTTACAGCAATATTGAACTGAGTTTAGAAAAGATTATTTCACTATTTATATTATTATTTCTTAATATCTTATTTATTCATTTAATATTGAAACTTTGAGGACTAGAAAATATTCACCCTATTCTATTCTATTGCTGTCAGTTAGCATTTCCTGCTAACTATGGACATCAGGGATGTTATCACTAAATTCCAAAAATATTTGGACTCATCTTCATATTTAGTGTGACAGATTGAGTGACATCTCTGGTTGCGGACGTGCACCTTACACAGCCTGTGAAGTCATAACTTGCCAGATGATAGATCACTCGCTCAGTATTAGGACAGGTTTATTGGTTCATTGGAACTATGACAAAGTTTATACTGCACTTTCCTAGCAATGTAATTAGATCTGTTAATGGTTGATTTTTGTCATATTCTCATGAGATATTCTGATTTATCTACTATAGGCAAACATTTGATTTGTCACATCACTTCCACTGAATTACACATTAAGTGTCAAAAATGTGTAGTAACTAATTCTTGGAGGTTCAGCCATACACTGCAGTCAAATGAAGGTAAAAAGCACGCACGCACGCACGCACGCGCGCGCACACACACACACACACACACACACACACACACACACACTCACACACACACAGATCTCAGGTTTCACTTCCATGGGTCAAATATGCATTTACAAAGTTCACACTCCTCACAGGTCAACGTGACGAGCCGCAAGCTGTAGTAGCACGGAAATCAGTAAATCCCCCACGCACAGACTTGTGTGCACACGCACACACACACATATACACACACACACACACACACACACACACACACACACACACACACACACACACACACACACACACACACACACACACACACACATACACACACACATTAGGGTGTAAAATCCTCCCGCCCCCAGCCCTCCTCAGCTCCAGCACATGGCAACGTAACACTGGTGGTCGTCAGTCTTGACACAGAGCCATCTGCACCATGTGGGGTTATTTAGGGGTCTCTGTCGCTCGATTCCCACACGACCATCTGTGAGTGAGGAGCGCTAACGGGCATAGATCAAATCCCATCCTACTCATTAATAGTAAAACCCAAGGCAAACTGAGAGCAGAAAGTTTTTTAAATAATCTTTAAGAAGTCATTTGCATGGGTGCTATCTTTTAATTAACTCACTTTCTGGGTGCCCAGTTTCACTCTGACCTTATCAGCCCAGCCTCTGGCCTCTCCCTGTCGCTTATTGAAAAAGATAAACCAACTTCCTCTCTGCTTGGGGCATAGGTAGGCAAATCCGTGCCAACTGCTCGATGACATTCAAATTCTTTGTGTCATCCTCTTTTGGCTGGCAAATCATATCCTAGCCAATCGCACTCTCCTCTCCCTTCCTGCCTTTTACTGTCTCCACTGCTATCTCTTCACCGCTCTGTCTTCTACTCAAGGAGGAACAGGAGGAGGAAGATGATGATGAGGAGGAGGAGGAGGAGGAGGGGGAGAGTAGCCAAGCCTTTGCTGCAAGCTTATAAATCTGAGTCCCAGGATGATGGCAAAGGCAGGAGCGGGAGGAGAAAGTGAGAGAAAGAACAATAACCACAATGGTGAGAGGCAGGGAGAGATTGGAAAACAGATGAATTGGACAATAAGCCTTCGGGGTTCGAGCAGAAGGTCAAGCGCTTTGTAAAACAGCAGGGATGTCGGGCTGGAGGGCCAGAGACAGAGAGGGCTGCTGAAGGAAATCAGGGAAGGCTTAATAGAGAAAAGATGGGAAATTCAGGTTTCAGAGAGATGTAGTTTAGAGAGAAAGGATGTCTGCTTCTTCTGTCAGCAAAGTTCAACAGCGGTTACAGGACAATTCTGAAAAGATCCTCCAGGCAAACATCACTGATTGTACTGTGGGCAGAAATTATCTTTACACTTCCCTTCCACATCTTCAAACAACTGGAGAAATAACAGTTTGCATACAATTTGCATTTTGCAAATCCCCCCAAAAATAAAAGATAAGAGTAGAAGGGTTGTTTTCTTTTTTTGGATTCTTCTGGCTCCAGTAACAATGCTGGGAAGCTGGGATCTTCTCTAAGCAAGCAACAGATGGACTAAAAAAAAAAGGCAGACTGACAAATGGAAACACACCAGCGGCAACGTGTCAGACAAATGTATATTATAGAAGGAGAAACCAGGCTTCCCTTCTCTCTCTCTCTCTCTCTCTCTCTGTCTGTCTGTCTTTATCCTATCTCAGCCCTGGATCACTGTCCTGCCAGTCTGCCAGCCGGTCATCCTGCAGGGGAGGGAGCAGTAATCTGGGCACTGAGGATTAGGACGGCAGCCTGGTCAGGAGAAATATCCCTCTTTGCTCTCAATCTGGCATGATAGCCATCACCGTAACGACAGGGACTAAGCCAGGGGAATGGAGGCTGATGCTGTATGAGAGTGACCCCGAGAAGTTAGTACAATTAAAGTCGGCAGACACGCTGGTCGCATATTGCTTGGCATGCTTCTTCTGCCAACAGAAAATTACAAGTGATGTAACTGAAGCAGTCATCAAAATGTCCTCAAAGCTGCAGTTTAGGAAGCTAGCGAAGTCATAATAAATTAAGTGAATTGTACCCGGGTAATGTTGTTTCTGTGCTATTTGCAGAAAGAGTCAGTCGCAGAAATAAAATACAGACTTAAGCTACTGAGCCTGCTGACCCATATAGGGCCACAAAATTAAGTTGCACATAGCCCATGTCCAAGTTGTTAAAGCTTGACATGCAATGCTGGTTTATAAACCATAAAACGCATTCAACATCGCCATAATAATTTCAGGATGAGATGGAGTCTGTTTTACCCTGAGGGAGGAACATAAAAGACAGAAAAGCACTATAGACACAAACAGACAAACCAACAATCTAATAATGTAATACAATAAAATACAAGTTTGGAGTAGTAAAGCGATTAAA